CTTTCTTCGGTATTTTGATCAGGAGTCCTTCTCTCCAGTCTTTTGGTACTTGTTCCTCATCCCAAATCTTATTGAAGGGAATGTGGAGTATCCTTGCAGTTACTGCTACGTCTTCTTTTAGTGCCTCTGCTGGAATGTTGTCCGGTCCTGCTGCTTTGCCACTCTTGATTTGTCTGATGGCCATGCTGATTTCTTAAATTGTTGGTGGGCCAACATTGATTGGGAGGTTCGTGGGTGCTGCTTCGATGTTGGGTGGGTTCAGTGGAGCTGGTCGATTCAAGAGTTCTTTGAAGTGTTCTACCCACCTGTTTTGTCGCTCTTCAATGTTGGTGATTACCTCGCCTTCCTTGCTTTTCACTGGTCGTTCTGGTTTGCGGCGATTTCTAGAGAGTTTCTTCGTCGTGTCATACAATTGTCTCATGTTTCCTTCTCTTGCAGCCTTTTCCACCGCCGTTGCTAAATCTTCCACATATTTACGTTTGTCGGTTCTGATGCTCCTCTTCACTTGTTTGTTTACTTCTGTGTATTCAGCTTGTGCCTTGGCTTTTTCTGCTCTTGTTCGACTGGTATTGATTGCTGCCTTCTTGTTCCTCCTTTCGTGAATCTTATCCAATGCATCAACAGTGATCCATTCCTTGTGATGGTGTTTCTTGTGACTCAGGACCTCATGACACGTTGAAGTGATTGCCTCTTTGATCCCCTTCCAGTTGCTCTTGTAGTGTCAGTTATTATGGCAAGCCCATATACCTTTATTCTAACTTCCGGACATCCTATTTTATTCATTTTACTTGAACCATATTTTGACCTTGTCAATTATTCGCTTATTAGTCTTGACTGTTTTCACATGAGCGTATATGTGTGTACACTTCATGTCCCATGACTCATTGTATGTCTGTAGCTTATTTTGTCTGCCTATAAATACTGAGTAACGCTTAGTTAAAGGGGAGTTGGCTTCCCAGCCATCCTCCCTGTGCGTCATTTTGCTTGGCTCTGTTTCATTCACTTCATATACAAAATATATGTATTCAAATGCCATTCTCGTTAATTGACTTATTTAATTCCGTTATGGACTAACGCGATCTAAGTCGACGATGATATACGAGAATAGGTGATAACAATCATTCGTACAATCTAAATGGAGTCAGATCACGTCGGGCTCACCAATGAAGCTGCCCGTGTGATCTGACTCCATTTAGATTGTACGAATGATTGTTATCACCTATTCTCGTATATCATCGTCGACTTAGATCGCGTTAGTCCATAACGGAATTAAATAAGTCAATTAACGAGAATGGCATTTGAATACATATATTTTGTATATGAAGTGAATGAAACAGAGCCAAGCAAAATGACGCACAGGGAGGATGGCTGGGAAGCCAACTCCCCTTTAACTAAGCGTTACTCAGTATTTATAGGCAGACAAAATAAGCTACAGACATACAATGAGTCATGGGACATGAAGTGTACACACATATACGCTCATGTGAAAACAGTCAAGACTAATAAGCGAATAATTGACAAGGTCAAAATATGGTTCAAGTAAAATGAATAAAATAGGATGTCCGGAAGTTAGAATAAAGGTATATGGGCTTGCCATAATAACTGACACTACAAGAGCAACTGGAAGGGGATCAAAGAGGCAATCACTTCAACGTGTCATGAGGTCCTGAGTCACAAGAAACACCATCACAAGGAATGGATCACTGTTGATGCATTGGATAAGATTCACGAAAGGAGGAACAAGAAGGCAGCAATCAATACCAGTCGAACAAGAGCAGAAAAAGCCAAGGCACAAGCTGAATACACAGAAGTAAACAAACAAGTGAAGAGGAGCATCAGAACCGACAAACGTAAATATGTGGAAGATTTAGCAACGACGGCGGAAAAGGCTTCAAGAGAAGGAAACATGAGACAATTGTATGACACGACGAAGAAACTCTCTAGAAATCGCCGCAAACCAGAACGACCAGTGAAAAGCAAGGAAGGCGAGGTAATCACCAACATTGAAGAGCGACAAAACAGGTGGGTAGAACACTTCAAAGAACTCTTGAATCGACCAGCTCCACTGAACCCACCCAACATCGAAGCAGCACCCACGAACCTCCCAATCAATGTTGGCCCACCAACAATTTAAGAAATCAGCATGGCCATCAGACAAATCAAGAGTGGCAAAGCAGCAGGACCGGACAACATTCCAGCAGAGGCACTAAAAGCAGACGTAGCAGTAACTGCAAGGATACTCCACATTCTCTTCAATAAGATTTGGGATGAGGAACAAGTACCAAAAGACTGGAGAGAAGGACTCCTGATCAAAATACCGAAGAAAGGCGATCTCAGCAAGTGTGATAACTACAGGGGCATCACTCTTCTCTCAATACCGGGAAAAGTCTTCAACAGGGTATTGTTAAACAGGATGAAAGACTGCGTAGACGCCCAACCTCGTGACCAACAGGCAGGATTCCGTAAGGATAGATCGTGTACAGACCAAATCGCAACTCTACGGATCATTGTGGAACAATCAATTGAATGAAATTCATCGCTCTACAACAACTTCATTGACTACGAGAAAGCATTTGATAGTGTGGACAGAACAACACTATGGAAACTTCTTCGACACTACGGCGTGCCTCAGAAGATAGCCAATATCATAGAGGTCATATGATGGATTACACTGCAAAATCGTGCATGGAGGATAGTTGACAAAGTCGTTCGAAGTGAAGACCGGTGTTAGGCAAGGTTGCTTACTCTCACCCTTTCTCTTTCTCCTGATGATCGACTGGATCATGAAGACGTCAACATCTGAAGGGAAGCACGGGATACAATGGACATCTAGGATGCAGTTAGACGATCTAGACTTCACAGATGATCTGGCCCTTCTATCCCAAACGCAACAACAAATGCAGGAGAAGACGACCAGTGTGGCAACAGCCTCAGCAGCAGTAGGTCTCAATATACACAAAGGGAAAAGCAGGATTCTCCGATGCAACACAGAATGCACCAATCCAATCACAATTGACGGGGAAGATTTGGAAGATGTAAAAACCTCTGCATATTTGGGCAGCATCATTGATGAACAGGGTGGATCTGATGCAGATGTGAAGGCGCGGATCGGCAAAGCAAGAGCAGCATATTTACAACTGAAGAACATCTGGAACTCAAAGCAACTGTCAACCAACACAAAGGTCAGGATTTTCAATACAAATGTCTAGACAATTCTACTGTATGGGGCAGAAACCTGGAGAACTACGAAAACCATCATCCAGAAGATACAGGTGTTTATTGACAGTTGTCTACGCAAAATACTTCAGATCCGTTGGCCGGACACTATTAGCAACAACGTACTGTGGGAAAGAACAAACCAGATCCCAGCGGAGGAAAAAATCAGGAAGAAGCGCTGGAAGTGGATAGGACACACATTGAGGAAAGCACCCAACTGCGTCATAAGACAAGCCCTCACATGGAATCCTCAAGGCCAAAGAAGAAGAGGAAGACCAAAGAACACATTACGCTGGGAAATGGAAATAGACATGAGAGAAATGAACAAGAATTGGATGGAACTAGAAAAGAAGGCCCAGGACAGAGTGGGTTGGAGAATGCTGGTCGGCGGCCTATGCTCCATTAGGAGTAACAGGCGTAAGTAAGTAAGTAAGGATGTACAAATACAAGTCTATCTTCATTGTTTAACTCAATGAGAATATTTCGTAAGATGTACAAGTTCTTCTAATCTGAAAGTGTGCATTGACAATGATAATTTTACAAATTATCATATATTTAAAACAGCTTAACATTCTGCAGTCTTAGCAAATGTAAGATTTTCAGGATAACAATGGGCACAAAGTTTTACACTGTCTAGTCAGAAAGCGTTTCCTTCATTCTACGATACAAAATCACTGTGTTGAATAAGTGCATAGTACATTGCATCCACAGAATTAGACAATAAACTTAAATATTGATCCTCCAATAAGTTAAAACGCAGTCGATAAGGTCTAAAGTTTAAGCAACTCTACTTCCAAACAGTTAAATAAATGGAAATTAAAAGAGGACAATAACGGTCTAGAACGCAAATTGAAATTTGAGGTGGGTAACTGCTTTTTCTATTCACTAAATTATACATATGAAATAGTTTTATTTACCAGACATTTTGAGGCTTCAACGTTTTAACGAAAGCCAAACTATTGGTAGATATAAAAAATTCATCGAATTACCCCTAAGACATGGTTTTGATGTTGGCTTAATACATTAGCGTCCCGTTTCTCTTTCTTTATGATTTAGCTATAAGGATCATCTCTGACCCATCGCGTGATAGTTTAACCTTTTTCTGGTCAAATAATTTCGCTTAGGATTTCAATTCTGGACTGTTTAGTTTTGGGTGAAATTGGAGAGAATCGTTTATTTGGATTTATATAGTGAACATCGGTCGTCAGGTAGAATCATAAAACTCTCGATTGTTTCTTCTAAGAAGAACAGTCAATTTATACACTCGATGAAGTCTGCTTCCATATGATTTTGCAGGTTTAAATGTCTCAGCAAGCATAACCTTGGTGAAGAATCTTTTACCCAGATGACAACACTTATTATTATTATTTTCGGTTGTGGATTTAAAGCTGAATTTTTCGTTTTACCTCTGACAGATTCGGAAATCTGTTTTTTCTTATATTAGATTCTGGGACTAAATATGACCGAAAATTCACTAAATCACGAGTAGGACGAAGTGAACGCTACAAATTTTCTGTAAACCTTAGATGCAAATCCTCGTCATCACCTTACAACCCAGAAACAACTTTGAAGCAGTCTACTAATTAGTTTATTCATTATCAAATGCCAGTCACATTATTCAGATCTGCAGCCAACTTTAATGCCATAAATGAATAACACCAAACCACTTTATGACAAGTTCAATACACAATAATCGAAGAATTAACGAAAAGACAAAAACTATAGAAATAAGTTTGTCTTCCTTCTCTTATCGATTACATACTGACAGTATACCATTTTTGTTGTTATTTAATCTCTTTAACATCTGCAAATGAGGTAGGATCAAATGATTTATCTAACACGAAAGATGTAATCAAATTGGTCACTGTATTTGGAGCGTCAAAGTGAACCCAATGACCGGTGTTAGCAATCTGAACAATTTTTGCTTGAGGGAAATATTTGCGTACAGATGGTAAATCTGATCGTCTGAACATTATAAAGAACAATGATATAAAAAGAACACTTTAATGAAACATCAACAATATTGATTACATTTCATGGGACACGAAAACGTGAATTTGTGATGATACTTAATTCAGTTCAAAAAATAAAGTCAGTTGAACGAGGAAATTTTGTTCAGCAAATTTAGTTTCAATGTAGTAAAATTAAAATCATGTGCATACCTTTTAGTGGACTTTAGTAATATACTTGCTATTCACATTCATTTATTGAACATACTGATTAAAAAAAATGACAAAATTAAAATGAAGTAGTTGCATATTTTGTGGAGACTAGTCCAAGTTGAAAATACTTCCTGATCATTGATCGACATTAGCTAGAGAACAATTGAAAATCAAAAAACACAAGACAGCTCTTCCTTTTTGTTTTTGAGCTCCTACACAATAAGCCCCCCCCCCCAATTCATATGAGGTCAAACTGAAAACTTTTAAATATGGCAACGAACACTTAACCTTTGAAACACTGAATTAGGATCTAATAATATACATTTCAAACTTCAGTCAATTTAAGATATAGTCTGATGAACATCTGATACCATACACAGTATGGTTAAACTCTACTAGTTACAACTTTTCACCAGAATTTCGGGAAAGGATCATGGTCTCAAACAAGGATATAATATAGCACAGCGTTAGCTGTACAAATATGTTGAAGCGGTGGCTTAGTGGTTAAGACATGCGATTTTCGGTCGCAGGTTTGAGACCCCACTCCGCCTACTTTGATATGAGTAACTGGATAGTATTATTGGAACGACCACTTAGATTATAACTAATACCCAGGCACCTGGTAAATGAGTTATTTGAACTAAAGATTATATAAACACGTGTTGTTTTTAAATTTTCTTCACACCATTAACCGATATAACGTATCACTTCAAAATATAATTTTGTCAAAAAGAATATTTTTATTTAATATTAAACCATTGATTTCCAAGGATGCGTTATCAGTCGAAAAATCAATTATTCGTAAACAAATATTCATGACAATTTTAGCAAGTCTTCACGGGAAGTTATATTTTAGGAATTCTAAATTATGCAATTACAAGTTAAGAAGACTTACTCTAAATACTTTCCATCGCTTGCTGCAACAAACATCACAGGTTGGTTGAAAACACGACCACTCAATTCCGCAGGAAAGTCTGTTATCTGATTCCAACAGCTTTCACCTTCCAAAATATCTCTCCATCTTTTTCTCCAAGATTTGTTAGAAGAAACGCGCGCATTGTAGGATTCTACTCAAAATAAAACTCAAAAATTTAATGATTTATCTTAAATTATGACATTCAATTAGAAAACTGCTTTTTATCAAGAAAGAAATTTCTGAATATTAATATACAAGAGACAGACAGGTGCTACTTAAAAAGACATAAAATAAGGGAGTCAAAACAAAATGAATTTGTGATGTAGAATGAGTTGGTTTATGGACAACTCTAGACCTCGATCTTACGTGTAATACTGAGTACCGACAAACACAAAAGTAGTTTACAATTTCCTCTTGACTACATACACATTAAATATCAAATGTGATACACTGAGACATTGAGTGACCTACACTTGACCAGGTCGTATAAACATGATAAACAGAATACAGTTGATAATAAAGATTAACTAATATGATGTTAGTTACTATTAGATGGTTTATAAATAGGAAACGTTAAGTATCTTAAAGTTCATAACAATACACAAGAGCTAATATGAATAGGTCGAGGGTGGGAAGAATCTGCTCTCCCTTTTGAAATGCTCTCACGTAGCCGCGCACAAACAACCACTGCCAAGGAAGTCCTACTCACTGCCTTCTCGTGGCGAGGGTGTTGTTTACGAAATTCAGAGGACGAAAAGCGAATTTCCAGTGCTTTAACCAGCTTCGTGAACACGGAGGATCCACCTAGAGGAGTTGGGAAACCTTTACTCCAAACTAATGGTGCACATGGGCTCCAGGAATCTGAGGGAACAAATGGCGTATGAACCAATGGTTGGCCACCGGCTACCATGGGACTGCATCTCCTGACGTTGCTCCACTGCTTTGTGGATTAGACCTTTAGGTCAAAGTCTCCGGATGTGGCTCTCTAAGAAAACCACCTGCTTCGGTCTGGGAACCCAGGCAGTATCACAACCCATATATAAATCAAGGGACTTGTGTGGCGCGTATGTATTTGGTGCACCTTTGTACCAATATTTATGTGTTCATATAAATAAATAAACACATCAATATCTTCCGCCACAAGTTGAGGCAATACTAAACAAATGAACTTCCGTCAACACAATTTAGCCGACAGATGAGAGAGTTCAATCACAGTAAGAAACCGAGTTAACAAACGATGAATTCTGTTATCCCCGTAGTTAAATCAAGTTCCCCATACCCATTTATCAAATATTACGATGGAAATTATGGACTTATATGTGCCGTTTGGATGTGTAGGCACAAAGGAACTTCATGTTTATGGCTAACGATGGCTTGTTGGTTGCATTTCAAATGACGTAAATCGTGTTTTATAGTTCCGAACAGATTACTCTAGTTATTTTCAGTTCCAACCTACGATAGAGATGTTGCTGATGTAATACATACAGTCTTTTCTTTGCAACTCAAAATGGACTCAAGTAGGTCATATTTCAATCAAAAATCAATTGTCCTGATGAATACAAACCTTGGGTTTCTTTTAGACGTCATCTGGATACTAACCATAATTTCTTATGCACCAAACTCTTACAATTAGCAGATTGATACATTTTTACTCCTACATAAATTTACCGAATCAAATCAGTCGCAACCTAATAGTTAACATAGCCAGGTAAGACGTTGGCTGCCATTCAACTGGAAATGTCATGTGATGATTGACTGAACTCACAAGACACTGTGAAAATCGTGAGCAAAGTCCATTTCAGCCGTGTAGATTGTTCTACCTCAAAATATAAGCTGTCATTCGAATAATATATCGGATAATAACATATCAATTCGAAACCATAAATTTATTTATTTATTTATTTGGACACATGAATAATGGTACAAGAGAGCGCCAATATATATGCGCCACACAAAACAATGAAAATTCGAGAGGAATACAGAGAAAGAAAAAAAAGCTAAGGAGCGCAACAAAAAAAAGAGAGAACAATAACGAAGAGATTGGTGTAAGGTAATGTGCTAGTAATCAGGGAACGCAAAGGTACAATCGGAAGAAATGTTTCAGGTAAGGGAGACAGAACCACTTTTTATGAAGAAAGTAAAAGAAGGTTACAGCAGGATCACCACTGGCTTCTATTCTAAACCATATCTGATAACGTCTCTAGCCACTGTGTAGCACCATCTCTCAGACCCCAACCAGGGAGTTGTGAAGGACCAACAGAAGCCAGTCCTTTGCAGCTTTCTTTCATGCCACGACACCATGTCATGCACTGACCACCTCTCCGCTTCTTCCAACCAGTCCCAGAGTCGGCAAATAATGCACGGCGTGGAATTCTCTGGGACGACATTCGGAGAACATGTCCAAGCCACCGAAGTCGGTGTTTCAAGATGGTGACACCAATTGAGTTATCATCTCTGTTCCCGAACACACGATGCCGAACTTCTGCATTACTGACATGGTGTTGCCACTGAATGCAAGCAATCCTTCGGAGACAGCGATGATCGAACACAGAGAGTCGTCTAACGTCCTCAACTCGGAGAGGCCAGGTTTCACAAGCATAGAGCAAAACTGCTCTCACCGACGCGTTGTAGATCCGACCTTTTAAGGCCAGACTAACATCACGAAGGCGCCATAGATGGCCCAGATTGGCATAAGCCGCTCTGGCTTTCACTATACGTGCATTAATCTCATCACTCACACCCCCACCAGCACTTATGCAGCTACCCAGATACACGAACTTCTCGACTACTTCTATCTGCTCACCATCCAGGGTAAGTACAGGATTGGAATCCTGCCAGTCTTGTAGAAGTACTTTGCACTTCGAAGGTGCAAAACACATACCATACCTACGGACACTGATTGCCAACTGATTAAGTGCGGATTGCATGCCTTGGGCATTATCGCACAGTAAGACAATATCGTCCGCATACTCAAGGTCGAGAAGTCTTTCTCCAGGCAACAGATCCACACCACCATGACTTACATTCATCAGAGCTGTTTCCAGAATGTCATCGATGGCAAAGTTGAAGAGGAATGGTGAGACTGGGCAACCCTGCCTAACCTCACTACTCGAATAGAACAATGGAGAAAGGTGGTTGTATGCCCTCACTCTGCCTGAGGTGTTTTTATATAGGGCTTTTAGGATGTTAATAAACTTCTCAGGCACACCCTTCTTCAATAGACAATCCCAGAGAACATTTCTGTCAAATGAATCGAAGGCAGCCCTGATGTCAAGAAACACTACGATTGTTGGTCTAACATTTGGCGGAGGGTGAAGATATGATCAATACATCCTCGACCAGAGCGAAACCCAGCCTGCTCCTCGAGAGTCAATCTTTCTCGGGTTTCGAACAACCTACGAAGTATGACGGAAGCCAATAGCTTGGACGCAATCGGAAGTAGACTTATCCCCCGATAGTTGTTGCAGGAACAACGTGAACCCTTTTTAAAGATAGGGACAACTATCGACTCATTCCATGACGTTGGTACACTCTCTAGTTCCCAAACCTTTGTAAACAACGTCGTCAATTCCTTAGTCAAAAAGTCACCACCATCTTTAAAAAGAGCCGGAGGTAAGTCATCTGGGCCAGGTGATTTGTAACGCTTCAAGAGTTGGAGTTCCTTGCGGACTTCCTCCTCATTTGGTGGATCAGTCGTCACCGGCCATGGAGGGCAGGACAGTCTGACCGATGTTGCCGAAGCAGCAGGCCAGCTGAACTGCCCTTCGAAAAATTCTGCCCACCGTCCAAGACGTCGATGGATGTTAGTGATTGGCATCCCATCATCCTTGCAGATTGTTTCACTCACACCAGACTTCTTGCTGCCAGTGGCTCGGATGAGCTGGAAGAGCTTCCGGTAGTTACCAGATGCAGCTGCTGCTTCCAGCTCATTAGCACGCTCCGACCACCAGGCTTCTCGGTCCTTACGCAAGCTTTGCCCAATTTCATTACATAACATCCTTCGTTTATGGTCAAACTCACGGTCACCCGGAGTAGACCGACGGGCTTCAATGAGTTGTAAGGAACCTGGAGAAACCCAGTGCTTAAAAGCGGGACGTTCCGCAAACCCACAACTGACTGTTCCCGCCATTTTCATGGCGTCATGCAATAGCAACCAATGCTCATCTATACTTCTCGGTGGAGTGGTAGCTAGCCTAGAGGCTAGCTCGGTTCGATACTTATTTGCAACAGAAGTTGCAACCAGCTTGCTAACATCAATCTTTTGCTGGTGGTCACTTCGTTGGCCACTGAAAAGTAAGGCAAGATTGGCGCAGACCAAGGCATGGTCAGAGTCCAGATAGGTACTCCAAAAGGAGCGGCAGTCTTTTACACAACCACGCCAGCGGAAGCTGATCGCTATGTGATCAATCTGAGTGCAGGCTTGGGATGCAGAGGGAGGACGCCAGGTGGCACATCGGCGATGACTGTGCCGAAAGTTAGTGCTAGCCAGAAACAGGTTGTGGTCTGTGCACAGTTGCAGTAGACGGTCCCCGTTATCTGACCTGCGACCAACGAGTCCCCATCGGCCACCTAAACGACTCTCTTCTGTGCCTAGGCGCCCGACCTGAGTATTCAAGTCTTTGGCTAGTACTACAATACCTGTCGAACGCACTTTCTGGAGAAGAACAGATAACTGGTGGTAAAACTCATCCTTGATCGCATCCGGGCTGCAATCTGTCGGGGCATAGGCGGAGATGACGAAAAGGCATCGTTTCTCACGCCGATTTCTTCTCACTTTGATGGAACCATAAATTACACTTTGGACACTAAGATTCCAACAGGGTGTTTAGGTGCTGTTCATGTCTCAGGCTAAGGTTAACAGTTTGACATTTAGACGGGTTAAGTGTGAGACCAATAACAACAGACCACCATTCAATACAAAACAAGGACTCATTCATTTCAAGGGAATGTGAAGAGGTAGAAATCAGCATACATACAGTGAGATAGTCCGCATACTTAACAAAAGTGTTTTCTGTGGAAAATGGTAGATCATGCAGAAAAAGTGGGAAAAGAAGAGGAGGGGAGGACAGCTCCTTGTGGCACACCTTAATGAGACAGTAAGGACATTGAACACTTTTCTCCAAACATAGTGTACTATCATCTTCCAAAGAG